GTTACGCAACCAAAAACATACGACAGTCCACGAGACAATACAAACTCAACACCTACAGCAGCACCCCATATACACAGTCTATATAAAAATCGCCTTTAATCTTTAGTCCCAAAATTCATAGGAACACACTAGTACCCACTGATCATACATCTCAAGGTACTATTTTCCAATGAAGTCCAATATCTCACATAACACTCTATCAACCAGTTTTTGAAGACACAAATGAAGAATTTGCAGAATAACCAGACACAATAAATTTTCGTTCCCCAGACGGTCATCTATTTAGCCGATAGATCGGATCCCTCAAGCTTTCCCTTTCCCATTTATCGAATCTCCAACGCCGTTTCTCCCGCATTTCACTCTCAAAGCTCATCTCTTCTATCCTACCCAGGTTCACTTCAAACTCACCATGAATGGATTCGGACGACTCAAACCAAAGAGTTTTTAACACCATTTCTAATTTTGATAACTTTGATATAGAAACCCCGACAATTTCCTAGACTCCGAACCCAGCCCTACAAAGTTTCTCAACCACTTTTCCAATCCATAGTTTTCCCGCCTCCTAATGAAATCTCTTCCTCTCCCTTTTCATATAGTGACGCTCCCTTATCTTTTCACCTTTGTCAAGTAACGAACCCGACTCACAGAAAATCAATTTGAGCATGAACTAGATAACTTCAAAGCCCAGCAACAACACCTTCATAATACAAATAACGCATTGTCTTTAAAGATATGAAAGACCACGTTTATCTTAACGGTGAAAAACACCGTCCACAGGATTTCTCACCAAATATTATCTAGTTTTGTAAATACTAAAAACAAACCCATGGTTTTTCGAGGATGACTCTACTATATCTTAGAAGTTTTGACTATGTTATACGCAAAGTTTAACTTTACTGAATTTCTCTTTCCCCTATTAACACAAGGGAAAGAGAAACCAGACACAATAAATTTTTGAAGACACAAATTTCGAATTCTATAACACAACTGCAATACATGCTCAAGTCAATAGACAAGCAAGCCTTGTAAGCATTTTGTTCGCAGGATGTTTTGGAATATTTATCACCTCAATTAATAAAGTCCTTCTTGACGCTCAGATTAGCGAATATAACAAAAAATTAGTTACCCAACCAAAAACATACGACAGTCCACGAGACAATACAAACTCAACACCTACAGCAGCACCCCATATACACAGTCTATATAAAAATCGCCTTTAATCTTTAGTCCCAAAATTCATAGGAACACACTAGTAACCACTGATCATACATCTCAAGGTAGTATTTTCCAATGAAGTCCAATATCTCACATAACACTCTATCAACCAATTTCTGAAGACACAAATGAACAATTTGCAGAAAAACCAGACACAATAAATTTTCCTTCCCCAGACGGTCATCTATTTAGCCGATAGATTGGATCCCCAAGCTTTCCCTTTCCCATTCATCGAATCTCCAACGCCGTTCCTCCCGTATTTCTCTCTCAAATCTCACCTCTTCTATCCTACCCAGTTTCACTTCAAACTCAACCTGCATGGATTCAGACGACTCAAACCAAAGAGTTTTAAACACCATTTCTAATTTTAATAACTCTGATGTAGAAACCCCGACAAATTCCTAGACTCCGAACCCAGCCCTATAAAGTTTCTCAACCACTTTTCCAATCCGTAGTTTTCCCGCCTCCTAATGAAATCTCTTCCTCCCCTTCTTCACATAGTGACGCTCCCTTATATTTTCACCTTTGTCAAGTAACGAACCCGACTCAACCAGCCCTATCACAGAAAATCAACTTGAGCATGAACTAGATAACTTCAAAACCCAACAACAACACCTTCATAATACAAATAACGCATTGACATTTCACCAGCTAACATACTCAGACTCAACATTCGAATCCTCAACCCCTTCTTTTCATATTGCATCCACAAGAAAAAAGAGATTAACGAAAGCAATCTAACACTACACCTCAATTCCTTAATAGTCGCCCACGTTTATCCTAATTATACTCCCATCACCCTAAACACACGAATACCCCACAGTTTTTAATTTGCAACATACCATTCCCCCCCCCCCCAATATACATACTATAGTACCGACAATGAAAACCAACTGAACATATTTGTTGATAAAAATGCGCTAGTTCCCACTCTGGCCATCATTGGCCACATACATTCCACCTAGATTGCGTTTATAAGAAATTTGATAACAAAATCGCTCGCGCACTAACAAACACAAAAGCTTACGAGCCATTTTTCAATAACTTTTACCATTTCGCACTAACATTTCCTTTACTTACACCAAAGGAAAGAGACATTCATTGCTCAAACGAATTCAAGCTAAAGATTTAACTAACTCACATGTACACCTTTTATTAACGCATACAAAAACATTATGTAACCAATTCACCAGCCCGTAACCCACTTCATCGCTTAATTTTTTTACCTGAGAGCACCCATCATATCCATAATTCTTAAATTTCACTTATTGCAAAAACCCACTAACTTGCACGGCACCCTCCGTAACTATGATCCCGTCCGATTTATATATTGCCCACTGACCAACACTTTTCCAACTGACGACGCCCGTCCAATCATAATTCCCCACGAACATATAATGCCCATTAAAATAACCCTGCGCGAACCCATTCACGCTAAGATATTTAATCACAAACTTTATAACCTAATCCAAAACACAAATCATGAGTTTTCAACACTAACCGAAGATGTAAAAATTATGAGAGCGCTTGAACTTCTTTGGCATCTGCTATGCACAAAAAACGTAATCCGCATGCTTTTAATAAATTCTGACACTATCAAAACTAACTTCCTCATGAATTTTTTCCCCAGAAACGGAACCCTCGTATGTATGAATTTTGTTATTATCACTAACAAAAAAAACGAAACACACAACACTATTACACGTGTTTTTCACATTTTTTTTTTCGATTTCAACAGTCATTCATCCAAAAGATTAAAATCCAAGCAAAAAATCACAAACTCTTTATCAAATCACAATTTTTAAAAATATTAATTTAACAATAAAACTGAATTTTGCAAGTGTAATAAATTTAATAGCAAATGAATGCAATAACTTAAAAATTCCGTATTAAAAATCAGAAATTCGAAGTAGTAATTTAATGTTACAAATAAATTAAAGATAGCTACCTTTTTAATGTGTGCTTCTTTTATAAAATAAAAAAAATTTTCATTTAATTAACCACAATTTGTGTCCTCTATTCGCCAAATTCGAGTAATTCGGCCACAATGATTTGTTGAATAAATGAATTTCAAGTTTCCACTCTAACTGATAAGAACTCCAACTTATTTCTATGCGTTTTCAACCTCACCTTAACCCGGTTAGAATAGTTATCCTTGAGCTTAAACTAACCAACGCAGCTTACCAACATCACAAAACCACCGCATTTGTTAGAAAGTTCCATGGTACTTCATGACCAAACTAAACCCAGATAAAAACTGAATATATTTCTTTTGAAACGCACTTTCAAGTTTTATTGAAAATACTATAAACACCAAAATGTCAAAAAAACCCAAAAGACAAAAATCTGTTTTTGATATAAGGATACAACCAAAAACTAAGAAGATAATAACGTCTGATAAAATTTAACAAAAGTTGATCACAAAAAGAGACTCTGCTGAAGGAGACTGAACTACTTATCCCCTTCTGGCCTAACCCACCAGAACGACGTCGCTCGAAGTACAGGCATCCATCAAGTGCTACGACCCCGATCTTCAATTTTTGATAAGAGTGGGTCCAGGGTGAGCAACTCTTCAAAATAACCGAAACTAAAATAAAAACGCTTTGCTAAAATAACTAATAAATATCAAACTAAAACTGATCTCACTAAAAAGATCTAGTCATAAATATGCAATGTAAAAGAATTCTCAGGGCAAAAAGAACGAGCAGCAAAGTGAGATGAAAATTCGATGACATTCCGACTCTGGAGTGGTAAATCTATTGGTTTGTTGCCGTAGACACAACCCTCACAGGATTTAAATTTGGACCCAATATCACAGCAAAGGTACCCGTTGCAGAAGAACAATGGCCAACTCGATGTGGACTTTTCGTACAGATCCTAGTCACTTGGCGCTCCACACAGAGAACTCAAACTCCATCTTGCCCGTAGTCTCGCTCTAGCTTAGCAAAATCAAAACATCATTGCATCAATCTGAAATCTTGACACGGTCACTCGAGAAGATCTAGGATAAAACGAGACCCACTTCTTAATTACGAACAACTGCCCTTCTTCTCTCTATGAAGAGAACTATACCTCTCCTTCCTTCACGCAGTCACTCCTTCAAAAGAAAACTACTCCGAATATTCAAGATGTCTCTCCATCCATCCTACGATAAATAATTTGAAAACTAAAACTCTCTAAACCCCGGATTGGTGGAACCATTTTAAAACTAGTGTTTCTAACTAATTATATTATTGATAAAACTATCTTTCACTAACCAATCATGACCCATAACTAACGCTGACAATAATCCGACTCGTAGTTTAAGCACCGGAGCAATTTGAATATAATTTAGACTACAGTTGTTCTCCTTTGGAAGAAGTTCTAGATAGCTAGCTCGCAAGTACCAGTATACACTAGATCTATTGAGACTAGGAGATATAGGAGTACGATTAGACTAAGAAGTTGCACAAATTTATCCGGCCAAAAATTAGATCGCGTGACGAACAGCACCTTATCTGAAATTAATCTTTGAGTGAGCCACCTCGGACATAATCTTACATTTAATATTAGGTTATTTTATAAGTTTTCTTGGTGAAAAACTTTAAAGCTACCCAAAAAGTCATAAGTAAATGACCAGTTAAGCCAATCTAGATCATAAATCATTGTGAGCAAAGGTTAGTCATATAGATATAGTAAGATAGCAAAACGGAGTTTCTGCGCCCTAGGATTGAAACTGTCATGGAATAATTTTAAACCATCGAAACCTTCCAATACAAGAATTTTTTGACTATGAATTAACTGACCTTGTGATTCTAAGCTCCCATTTCCACAAGCCTCGTTGTGCCAGAAAAATGCCTGAAAAATGCAGCTTCCTTGAGAACCAAAAAAGTACTAGTGCGAAAGTAAATTTCAGCTGTTTCTGTGAGTGCGACCTTTTTGTAGTCGATGAACTCGCTCTGACAGTAGAATAACCCAAGTGTGGTCTGAGCTCTGATGGAGGCACTCGGGTTCCCATCGTCTGCCGCAATTAGCAGCCACATCTCCGCATCTTCATACGACTGAGGGGTGCCAGCACCTGCATTAACATGATGTTAATTGTGGAACAAAAACAACAAAAATTAGTTTTGTCTCTAAAGTCAATTCCCTATTAGGTTTTTAGCAAGAAACTTTTGCTTTTCTAAAAATCTGAGTTGAGCAAAACTGCCCAGACTTTTTTCCTAGTAAAACATATTGAGGAGGGTTAACGGATTGATAATAGAAACATCTTCTGCATTGCTTCGCAAGCGCCATCATTTCATTTGATAGCATGCACATTCGTTTGAGTACATGCAATGTAGATTTATACTTGCCCATACTCGGGCAACCGAAACAATGTTTTCAACCATAACACTGCCAAAAAAATTCCATAAGCAAACAGTCAAAGTTGCTCATTACTCATGAGTTTAGGTTCGGGGCGCCCTTTTCATAGAGTAACTTCGGATAAGGGTGAACCGTCTGCTCGTTACGCTCTCTTTTTTTCGGCCGAATAGGTTCGTATACCTCCTCAGTCTGCTAAAATTACTAGTCTTACTCTTGTATCTTTTATTTCTCAATCTCAATAGATCTAGAGATATACGGGTTTATCGCGAGATTAGAGGAGATAAGAAAGCAATTGGTTTCAATGTTTGAAATTGTTTCTCTGACTGAAACTAAGAAAAGTTTCAGCTTTACAATTCATCGTAACGTTCAGTCATGGATCATGATTGGTTAGTTATTAATATTTCAATATCAAAGGTTTGAAACATGACTTTGAAAAAATGAAAGAAAAATTGTTGAGGGTTGTGGAGACAGGTTTGAATGTGAGCATTCGGAAAATGATTATCTTGAAGTTTCTTAGTTTAGTTTTGGCAAGGTCGAATTTGTTTATTGAATTTTGTCAGGGGGGTTGGAAATTGACAAATTGAAAAAAGTCTGAAGGTTTCGAAAACAAAATGCTAATTTTGTTTTTGTTTATTGGGTAAACGGTGGGTTTTTGTGAGATTTTAGTGGTTTGACTAACTCATTTATAATTTTTTGTTTTTGACTTATTTGGATATTTTCTTGGTAAAAGAGAGGTAACGTTTTATCTGATCTTATTGATATTGTTCAGGGTTGTCAAAAGGGGTTGCAATTTTAAGGTGATGATTGTTTGAAATGTCAAATGTCATGGTCGTGCTTATTTTTGACCCGGAGTTCTTAAAATTCCAGTGACAGTTCTTATTCAAATTAACAACGTGATTTTTAATTAAACGGTGCTGGCAAATGAAAGATTGTGAAATTGAGAAACGCTCTGATTGGTCAATTTTATTTTGCTCTATTTCTCAGAACTAGACTTGAAAATTAAAATGTATACAAATTGTAAAAAAAAAAGAATTGAAAATGAATACTTTTATTTTGTCATCAGATGAGTGATGAGATTTTTGATGTTAGTTAATCAAGTCACAGATAGGTTTTTTATTCCTTCTTTTGTCTGAGTGGATTGTGCAATTCTTTTTTTAGATTTTTCTATCGTGAATAATTGTTTGATGGTTTTTTCTAGGTTGATTTTGGAGTCTAGAAGTTTGTCGTTGAGATGATTTTTCTTATATTTCGGGTATTTATTTCGTTGTAACTAACAATTTTTTTCTGTAGTTGACTTAGGTCTAGCTTGTTGTAGTTTTGTGTTTTTTGTAGTTTTTCTTTTGCTTCTTGTTGTGTGGTTGAGTTTTTTTGATAGTTTGTATGATTTGTAACCGATGGAGATTCAACAATGTGAATTCCAGTAAAGGATTATAGTTGAGTTTGTTCTCGGAGAGCGTGTTGCTATGGGTGATATGGTAAAAGAATATTTCCCTGTAGTTTTAACTTTTTTTATTTTGATCTAGAGTTTTGTATGTGACATCGGTTGATTTTTATGATCTGGTAGGGTCGTTTTCATAATGTTTTTTTTTCTTCTAAAAGTCATTCAGTATATGCACCGGAAGCTAATTTTAAAAATTAAATGGTGAAAACGGTCATCATCGTGTGTATGTGGTGGTAAATTGTAACAAAATGAATCTTTTGATGGTTTTACAAAATCCTTATATTTCTTTCATAGCAGTTACTGTTAACGATATTGGTTTGTGTTTCATTAGTTTGTGGATTTCGTGGATTGTGTTCTATATTTTATTGATGGCATTAGGTTTTAATTTAATTATTTATAAACTCAAGGCCATTGTTTGCGACAAAATTTTCGGGTAGTCCGATTTTTGATATCAGGTGTTCGTGAAGTGCTGTATATGCAAAGTATGCATAAATGTTGCAGTTGGTTTAAATTTTCATAATTAGTAGGAGCGTCTACAATTACCCTGATATATAAACTTGGGCTTTTTGGGTCACATGATGATCGGTGATTGAAATATAAACTTTGTCTTTCGAAACCTTGTTTTTCTACTCTTTGTCTCTGATGTGGAAAAACTTCGTTTAAGAGACAGTCGTTACAAAGTATTTTGATCCATATTTTTCATTTGAGAAATGAAAATTTTGTATAAAACTTTTATACCTTTTTTCTTAACCTATATGTCTTTTTGTATTTGTCGAGCATGTTCGTACAATTTAATAAAATTAAATTTAAAGGTGAACAGGGTGCTAATTTTTGGTATTAAAAAATTCTGAATTTCTTTTTTTTGCGCTTTTATAGATGTGTTATTAAATTTTCGAAAAAACCTTCTCTTGGCGAATAACGGGGTGTAAGTGTTGGTATCTTTGTAAGCAAGTCAGTTGTTAATTTAGCTGTAATTTGTAAAAAAAAATTTTGTATTTTCAAATGTGTTGAAAAAAATTGTCAATGGAGTCCGTTATGTCAAAAAATTGAAGATTGTTTATCTTCATTTGTATTTAAAAAACTTGAAACAATGAATCTATCAGTTAAGTCTTGTTTTATTGTAAAAGTGGAAAAATTTTTCTCTCCGTAAAATTTGTTTATGTTGTTTCATTTCGGGTCGTTTTTCATCCATGAAGAATATGGGATAGCTTTGAATGTTTTTATCTAATAAGTCTACTTCATAAAGTTTGATTTTACATTCTAAAATTGGTATAGTTATTCAAAATTGCAAACTTTTTTTAAATGAGTCAATTTATACTGCATATTTGCATTTTAATCAGGGCGAGTTTCAATCTCTTGCAAGAAAAACTCTATGTTTTGTGGAAATTTAACAGTAGTTTTCGTGCCACTAGTTCTGGTGGTGTATTTCAGTATATAGTAGGACAAGGTGTTTTGTGCTATCAAGGTTCTGTTGAGTATGACAAAATTCGTCACGATTAAGTGAAATCTCTATATTTTATGATTTAAACTTGAGTTTTGATGAAAAAGATCTTTTATTTGTTTATGGTCAAGGAATAAGAGTTTTAGATGCTTGGAACCAAGGATTAAATTTTCATACTTTATCATGGAATAAAAACTAGCTGTAACTACCACAATAGTTTGAGAGTCTTAATTCTGCTTGAGTGAATAATTTTGAAAATGCGGAAATGAGATTAATTTTAATTGTTCCTTGATGAGATTGTAAAAGATCTGCGCATTTTCCATAATTGGATGCATCATAGATGAAGCGGCTGGTTAGAATTGGGAAAAGTGTGTGAAGTTTGCTCACTTCCGTTTTTTAAATTACATCAATTTTTTTTTGATTTTTAATTGTCCATTTCAAAATTATTCTGTTAACGTAAATTGTTATGAAAAGATCTGGTTGAGTTTTAAATAAATATCTACTGAAAAAGTTTGACATTCCAAGAACGTTTTGGATTTTAACATTCCATGATTGCTAAAGTAGGGTTGGTTCATATTTTTAAGAGTCTGATTATTGTTCCGTCGTTTACAGTAATACAATAATGATATATATAATGATATTCCATAGAATAATCGGTTGACTTCATATTGTTAATTACCGATAACTAGTAGTGTCAAGCGTCGTGACTGCTCGTCTAGAAGCATTTGGTTATATGCACTCTTCTTTTTAGCTTTAGTGTATTTTGTGTCATTGATATTTGTCAGTAATACTTGGAATATTTCTCTCGGCCAATTGCCTTTTGATTCTTCCGTAAGTGAGGCTATATATCTTGCATCGAGTACAGTTTTCAGAAGTTCTATTTTTGCAAAAACGATCAGCGGTTTTATATATGTGTAGTTTTTTGTTTGTTGTTTTCTGATTATCTCGTTTTTTTAAAGTATTTCTAGAAGACTTTTCAATTATCGTGTAATTATGTAATTATTTTACTCGCGCGTGGTTTCTTAAAAATAACATCTAGTTTTAGTGGAAGATGTATTTAAGAATAAATGTTTCCAAAATCAAATTTTGATGTGGCAAATATGTTGAGGTCTTTGAACAATTAATTCGCTAATTGCTCAAATTCATCTTGGTTTATTTGTGAAAGTTGAAAGATTAAGGTAGAAAGTTTTGTTCTTCTGGTGTGTATTTTGATGTTTGAAAAGTAAGTTTAATGTGTTGCAATTTCATTAAGTAGTTGTTTTTCCGTTTTGATTCATCAGTTATTTTATTGATAGCTAAATCTTCATTGAGCAAAGCAGATTGAAAAATATGTGATAACCTTGATGTATTATTTACTCTGTATGTTTTTGTTCCGTTGGTTGTAGTAGAGCGTTTGTTTCACCTTATCCTAAAAATCCTGAAAGACTTGTAGTTTTATGTGGCAATCTTTTATATAAGTGTATTTCCACATTAATACGAGAAAAAATTTGTGAACTTCTCTGAACTCAAGGATAGAGATATGTAGCTTTTGTGTGATCTGATTCTCATTATTCTGATGTGTTTGATTTGCTAGAACGTTATACGTTTATTCAATGAAAGGTTTCAAGTGTTTTCTCTCTTTCTCATATATGTGATGAGAAAAAATCTTCAAACCTTTTGTTAGAAGTTTCAGTTCTTCGATAGTTTTCATTGTTTGTAGGTAGGTTTTGACTTTTCCATAAACTTGCAATTTTGTACATTGTGCTGTTGCTAACTTGCTTGTTGTACCTTAGAGTAACTTATTTGGGTTGACTGCCTGAATTTGATCCTATGTATGTATGTTTATGATGTTTGA